CATGAGGTACCTCAGTATTAATAATTAAAACAATAACAGGTTTGAAAATATCGAGGAAAATATGCTTGTTGTATAGATTGTATATATCTTAAGAAGATGTCAGTGCACTATTTGTTTTCTCTCATAGACAATACGCATTTACGCAGAATCATTTTATCTATGTTTTTAAGTAATCTTAGAGCTAAATCATCCATTACAAAAACAATGGAAAATAATATTTTTAAAGGTAAGACACGTCGATTATATATTTTATTGTTATTTGACTTCGTATTCGACTTTCAAAATAAACAAAAAAAATGTTGTACGTTTAAATGATGTCTAAATTGTTTTGAGACAATATTTAGACAAATCGATATATCATACCCTCAAAAATATAATTCTCCATCGTTTTTGTAATGGGCGATTTTACTCTATAAATACTTCACAACACAAATAAAAAATTATTCAACTTAAATGCGCTTGGACCAGAAAGAGAATAGCAAATAGTGCGCTAACATCCTCTTAATAAAATTAGAAAAAATTAAAAATAAATACATTTTTAGTTATTAGTTGCTTATTATTAAATATGTAAATAATGTTGAATTGCAACCATATTATACTCGTACTATTTCAGTGTTAACCTTCAAATAAGAGAAAAATTGACATTTTGACCAATATTTTGTGCTAGCATTTTCCATACAGAATGAAATTTTCAAAATATCTAGACTACCTAATTTTAAATTATTTATAAACATTAGATTTTTTCGATTTTTTTCAGTGAATCTTGATACAAACAATTTTCTTGTCAAAAAGCTTGAAAATGTAATTCAAAGTTCCTCTTAAGTTGTACCTTATTGTTATACTTAAAACAATTAAAGAATCTAATCTATACATAAGTACAATTATTATTTATATTTTATACACATTTCAAGTTGAATTGAATTAATATTTATAGGAAAAGTAACGATTTTTGTTGTTTTGTAATTGTTTTACGCTAAGAGTCTAAAAAGAAACTTGCAAGGGAAGCTTTGACAAAATAAACATTACTTTTCACTCATAATAATAAAAAAAAACTTATGATATACTTGTCTACCAACGGGTTTACCTCCTCTCTTATGTCTTCATATATATTTATGTTTTTATTTTGTCATATTCGTCTAATTTACTTATCATGCTGCTACTGGTAAAATTTGTAAATATTCTCTTAAATAAAAAAAGTTGTTATTAACAAAAATATAATATTCATAAAATTACTTGAAACTTTTAGCCATTACGTATATTATCATTTTCTATGCGAGATAGCATTTTTATATTATTTAGATTAATTTTGAGCTATTTATATCATGAATCTATTTTCAAGTCGGTATTGAATTATAAGCTACACCTACCAAGTACTAAGTACCTAAAAGTTAATCACAATAATTTATGATATTATAATATAATAAAAATAATATTTTATCCTTATTATATGCAATGATTATGTTAAAACTAAACAATTTTAAATTTTAAATTTAATCAACCGTATTACTAATAGAAAAATTAATTATTTTAGTAATAACTAATAATCGTATTTCTAATGTAATAATGTAGTTACAATTTACCTTATTGTACCGTAATTTACCTAATTGTACCTACAATTTATCCCGAAATGTACCATTACAAATTCAAATTTACCACATCCATTCACTGAATTACAAAGAAATCTCGAAACCTATTATGAAGCAGAACGAGTTTGCTATTTTTTTTTAATTTCGCACTGTATAGAGACGAAAGAATTACTTACATACAATAATTATTTGAAACACATGTTTACAACTTTAATACAGTTAATTTCATTAAAATATTATAATATATGAGTACTTTTATCAATTCATCTTTGAACTCATAGATATTGAGAATAGTAATAACTGGAAGTATTCATTGATGTATAGATCAGCACTCTATACTAGTGAAGCAAAAAAGAAATCCATAACACGTAAGGATTAAAAAAGCGTATTGTATTACTTATTCATTATTTGAAATGTCATCTATGTCATCCATCTAGGTATCTTTTTTCAATGATCGCATTATTACATAATAACTAATGAAATATAGTTTATTTTATTTGAGATGGATTAATCAATATAATAAAGGTATTTCCATGATTTCATATTTTACTATTTATATAAAATTATTAAAGCACATAACTAATAGTGATAAATGATAATCATATAAAAACAACCAGACCAATTGGCTATAATTTGAATACCTACCTACTCATAATTAACGATTTAATCATATTATTTAACAAATGTTCGATATTTTATATTTTATTTTGTTAAATTTGTGACCTGTCTACCATCGCAGAATCTTGTTAAGTTCAAAGATCTTAATTCATATCAATATTTAAATTTACATAGGTATATTGATGAAAATCAAATAACACCGTGAATGGATCCGCGTTCATCAAAAAATTACTGTTAACTAATAGCAAATTTGTGTTCAGCTGAACTAATTTTGTGCTGCTAGCTTAGAGGACGCTTTACTCGCATGCGTTGTCTCTGTTTTACATACACATAATATAGAATAGTTAATTGAACTTTGATATGTTTAATTTTATAGTAAATTGATCTACTACCATATTTAGAAGTAAGAATATTATCTAGTCAATGGCATAGGTTTTAAATTGTAAATTGTGTGTGCATTTTAAAATGCTTATAACCAGCTTTATAATTAAAATTTAAAAAGACTTATATCATTGACTACATAGTATTTTTTCTTCAAAATTTGGTTGTAGATAAATTTACTATAAAATTAAACATATCAAAGTGTCCTCTAAATATTACGGTGAATCGACTTACCTACTATTAACTTACAAAACGGACAAAACATACAAAGCAGTAGGTATCCATGTTTGTAGCCTGGTTTTGTACCATATTTTAATTGTTAATTAAGTTATAAGCATTTTGAAATTGAAATACTTTGAAAAAATATTCGTACTTTTAATTTTGATATTACAAATGTAATATTTAAGTTGTTTGCTTTCTTCTGCTGATTATGTGTCGTACGTTTGACAACCTAATGTAGGTTAATAAATTAAAATGAACAAGTCAAACAACATCATTCCGTATACAACCTCCAAACTTACAGAAATATGACAATGACAACAATAAAATATACGAAAAATAATATCTGAATCACCAGCTGTTTTAAATAAATACTGTGTGGGTATTAATTATTTTTCATTTTAAAATCGATTTAAATATATATTGTCAGTTCATATAAATAGTCGGCGTGCAGCAGAATTCTGGAGTCTATACAGAGAGAAAGAACTAACCCTTTGTAAAGATCTACGGTCCACCCCCCGTGGCATATGACATATTATGTTGTAGTGACGCAGTACACCCTCTTTTTCTAAAACCATTCAAGAGAGAAATAATTACAGGTAGTTGGGGAATTTGAGTACCAATTCGTTCGAAACCAAACGTTACAAAAATTAAAGAGTAATATTGAAAATATAAAGACCTTAGAGAAACCTCAAGAACCTTATAATTTAGAACTCGAGTATGAACAATTCACACAACATTTTCTTAGTGTAATATACTAATATATTTTATATAATACTGTATACCAATATAAAACATGGTTGTGCATCGAGCTAAATTTTATCATATTTTGCCTGCAGTTTTTAACATAAGATCATCTTATAGCACCTGTTATTATATACAATAACAAATTAACCTAGTCCTTTATTCGCATTGTTAGTGACGAATAGGAATGATCGATGAACACGTTCTGAGGTAAGAGTATAATCCGAGTACATAATAGTGTAATATAAGATAGGCAGACACGACAATACAGAACGCACTTATCTATATACTTCACGTACAACTTATGTTCTATAATATGTACTAAAATAATATATTAAATGTAATACCTAGCGTTAATTATTATTATTAAACTTAAACATACTAATTTAATAACATTTTTTTCGACATCCTTATTTTAACAATTCATTACAATATCGTCTGTTTATTTGACAAGCGGCGTAGATTTAAGTTGGTACGCGGTGTCATCATAATAACAATATTATAATGTTATTCGGATTAAAAAAACCTGCAGGCTGCAGAGTACAGACGGTTTCCAAAATGTGCGAAGAACCGACGTATGATATTATATGTTAATATGTTATACTAGTTCTATAACACTGTAGTATACAGATCTTATTATTTTTTACTGTATATTACTATCATAAATAACAATACAATACTAAGCTGAGTTTCGAAATTTTAATATTTTGGACGGGGCGCATTGCCTCATATTAGATAAAAAAATTTTTTAGCATGAACCATACTCAAATAATATTTTTAAATAATTATATCACTTATCACGAATTGTCTTCCCTATCATTCCCTTTCGGTGGTTACCCACGACACAAAAACAATCCACATTCCGTGACCTACCCATAACTAATAAAAATATAGATTCAGAATTATCAGAAGGGAATTTTGGGTTAATAAAAACATACCTATTCCATGCTGGAAAGAGAAATCTCCTTAAAACGTAGTTGATAATATTCTTTCCCTCCGCAAAAAAAGACAGCAGCCCCAAATTAGGGCAATTGATATAGCCATGGCCTATCCATTTTTCAGGACTGGACGTGGCTAAGACTAAAAATTTAGTGACCTACTCCAAGATATTAGTATCATTTTTATGTTATCATAAAAAGCGTTCTTTTAAAATATTATTTTCTACTATTATGGAATTATAACCTACGCTTAATTTTATCAACAAAATGTGCGTAATATGTGGTGTCCCGTGAGTTAAACAAATGTTAATACAATTACAATTTGAATATTAAGTGATCATTTTCCAAATAAGCGACGAAAGTGACATTTGGTCGAAGAAGGGCCATACTTCCAGCCCTGCCTATTATCTTTATAATTTATGCACCTGTGCTACCCACAGGCCCCACAATGATGATGATATAATAATATTATACAAAACAAAAATACGATATTCAAATAATATGTAATACTCACGAGGATCAAAACATGTCAACCGTACTATGGTAATAATAATATTATTATTTTAATGTACACCGTGTGATAACGTCGCCGCCGTTACGTAACGCACATGGAGAGCACAACACGACTGCGCGCCAAAAGACCGGGCGGTGGGTGCCGGGTGGACGGTGTGAACAAGACGACAACGACGACGACGGCGCGCGGACACTCGCTGTTTTCGAACTGGTGGGACGTACCGCGTACGACTGCACGAGACCGAGTTGTGGTGATGCGTCGGCGGGGCGGGCGGGCGGGCGGACGACGCGTTTATCGCATTTACACGGCCGCCGTGGAGGGAATGTTGTTTAACCGCTCTTATACCGCCTTACGTCTCCTTGCAACCGACTGCCGAGACGTGCCGGGTGTACCACCGCAGCTGGTCGCTGCTGCAGACAGCCTGCTGGTACGACTTATTTTGTTAAAAATTATTATTATTATTTTCGTAGGCACCTAGTGATAATGTGGTAAATGTTTTGTCCGTGGTCGTGGTAGCAGTGTCTTTTGACGACCGAAACCGCCTAGAGTTGAGTTTTGTCGTCGCGCAACCGAACCAGACGACATTATTATTTAAATTAATAATGTTTATGGGGGCAGTCCGGCAGTGTGGAAAATATGTGCAATAGTTGTACACTGTTCAACTGCACCGCTTACACAACTACCGATAGTCGTCGTGATGAACAACGACCGGTGACTGGGCATTGCGCGAGTTCGCGTAACATCTAGGAGAGGGTAAAAATTGGAAGTTTTTTCCAAAAAAAATAAAAATAATACTATGGGCATTCGATCACGGCTGGGTTTCTTACAAAACTATACACCTGTCTTATGTCAATTGCATCGACTGTTCTAGAAATTGGATTGAATGTCTAAAAACATATTTGAATTTGCAATGAAGTCTTCTGAACTCTTAAACCCTTCAAAATATCATATTTGAACTTTGAACATTAAATAGGTATTTCAAAAGCGTTAATAATATTGAACTAAAAAACTAATTGAAAAATGTATGAGAGATGTTGTCAAGTAAACTTCGTGATGAGTTCAAATATGTCATCAGGTATTTTATTGGATAAATAGGTAAGTTAATACAATTGGCAAAAGATTGATACTTTTAGACAGCAAAAAAACATGCTGCAGCCCTCCGCTATTTCTATTACTCTACTGTCACACGCACAATTATTAATGATCACTATCTACTCACTTGGCGTATTTTACAGACGTGCTCACATTATGAAAAATTGCCTATACTCAACTCCTTAAAAACGGCCAGTATTGAATTCCAGTATTCCACGAAGCCCAACACATAATCGTCATAGGTTTACACTCTTACGCCTCATGGAGTTTTCGAATCACCGTACATGGCTAAATTAGAGTTTCTTTCTACTATATTTGAGACCGTTTAGTATAAATCATATTTCAATCAGTGCTACTATAATAATATGTCTATATTATAGTACCTACGGCTACAACAGGCTACTTTTATGAATGGCTGTATAAATCTATATGTTTTATATATGTATTATATACTAAATAATAAAATGTAAGAATTAGAAAGTTCATTGATTATAATGTGGTAGTAAAATATTGGTATGCAGTTGCATACTGCAACTCATATGGACGTGTTTTCGAGATGATCACCCAGATGATAATGTTGTAATATTGTGCAATATATTAATAATTATTATGTTGTGCATAGTGCATATACAATATTATTAAAGTACCTTTTCAAAAGTCTTCCAGTCAAGAAGACGTCACGAATGCCATGTGGATGTGTTATCTCCACCTTACTAATGCATAACATGTACAATTTTACGATAAGAAGAATACATTTTTCTCTATTATTTTAAGTTCTGAGCAGAGCGATTCGAGTAGCGAATTAGGTTTTAAAATGATATGTGTTTTATTGGGTGTCGCGTCAAAATGTCGTTTTGTCGTGTCTATCATTAGTTTTAGAAGCAGTAATTATGCTTCGATCTTCAACTTTAGATCTAATCTGTAACTTAGGGAACAAATTTCAAGTACTTTTCCAAATCATCGGGAAAAACAAAAAACAAAATTATGGAACTTAATGAAATTTTCAGGCAAAATCAGTTTTTGACAGAACCTAATTTGTTTTTTTTGCAATAACTAAAAATGTATAACTGTTGAGAGTTGAGACTTGACATTTTCACTCAATATTCCATTTGAATATGGTTGGCATTTTATATAATTTTTTTATATTTTCGCTCTCTTCGTGCTATTTATAGGTAGTTAAAATGTCTACTTTTTTGATCCATCATAGGCAGATAAGCTTATAGGGAAATCGGGATTTTCCGGTAGGCCTCAATCAGTATTATACTCAGAGTCCTCCATTATGAAAAATGTTTAAAAAAGTTTAATTAAAAAAAAAATTAAATATAAAAATTAATTTTTATATCTAAAACCGGCTGGCGGCTATACAGAATTAATGCTTATATTTTGTAATATTTATGCACTCCATTAGGGGCCTCGCCTGTACCTATAATACTTATTGATAGTATTGATAGCCGTATAAATCATGAATATATATCTAGTTGGTTGTATGTAGGTACTATTGTCTATTGTATTAAAACTAAATAATATATAAGTGTAATGCAAATATCAATAAATATGTTCGATGTTCGAATGACGAAAATAAACTACTCCTATAATAATTAACATGTACTTATATAGTATATTAATATAATAGAAGTGGTAAATTAAAAAAAATGTCATCATTATCAATTATAATAATATATTATATATTTTTTAAACAATTGATTGTGTAGCATATAATATATTATATGATATGATTTCAAAAAGTATTGCGAACAAAACAATCATTATTTTTATATAATTTATAAGTTGGCCCTAATTATATGTGGAAGTAATAAATATAATATCTCGGTAGAAAAAAAAAGTACGTATCCACCCGTGGATCCATGTATAATACAATTTTTGTAAAATTGCTTGGTAGTTGAATACAAAGTTCAAAATTTGTGCATATTTCAATTAAAAAATATCGAAAGTACATGATCAAAATCTTTTATTAATTGAGTTTAAAGTATATTCGTATAATTTAACGAAATTTATCAAAATCACAAACATTTGCTAAATAATATGAAATCCTAAAACAAACAGTTTGAGACATTCAAAAAGGAACATACCAATTATCTAAATTTGAGAGACCCACTAACTTTGGCAAACACATTATGCGATATTTTTATCATTTCATTGAACCTATCATATTTCGAGTACAATGTCCTATGAATTTTATGACCACTCTCCTTCGGGTCATAAATCATAAACGGCTATATAATATATGAAGGTCTTATTAATTTTTACATAACTATTATTATAAGGCAATCTATAGTATATTACTTAAGTTTATTTTAGTTTCAGTAATAATATGTACCTAATTAAATCTAACCTACAATAATAAAAACTAATTAATTACTTATTCAATACAGCTTCATTTTATTTATTAAAAATCATACTTAGTGAACAGTTGTGAATTGTTTGTTAATATGAAACAAATATACATATTCTATGTTAGAACTCGCAAAGTAAAAAAAAAATTATAACTCACCAAGAAATAGGGCGCTGAATGTTCTGTTTTTAAATTCTCCCTTATTTTAAAAATAAATCGTTGTACGGAATATGTAACGTAATATATAACAAACACCATAAATATGCACTAAAAGCATGATGGTTGATGAATTTATGACCAACTGACCAAGCAAGTAAACATTAGACATATATGCAAAAATAGACAGTATTAAGTTGTAAATTTGAATAGTTCTTTAAGTAGGTAATGAAACAAATTTCTATCTGGTTTTTTTTTTAAATATAATAAATGCATAAACAAATGCTTTGTAGTAATTAGTTAAAGCTCATAGGCCAAATTTACCAATTATTATTTAAGTACTAAATCCTTTAATAAACACTCAATCATTATGTGAGAGCCAATAATTTAATTATTGATGTAGGATTATACCATTATTGTTCCATTATCTCATTTAGTTCAAGTTAACTATTCGAGGAAGGGGGAGGAGGGACTAACACCTGTCTAACAAATACATTTTAAATCATAAGACTTTCTTAAAATCAGGTTAATTAGCTTAACTATGTATTTGATAAATATCTAATTACCTAAGCATTGATATATATTTTAATTTTAAGTGTGATCTTTTGGCTATCTATCAAATTGTTTAAATATTTCTTAACGGTTACTCAAATATTAATTTTGTTCATTGCACCCACTTCTACAAACTCATAACTTGACAACATCTTATCGAAGAAAAGTGGTCTAGTGGAGTTTCAGTAAATAATTGAATGACAAATTTAATATGTTTATTAAATGTTTGATTAACACGCAGAACGTTTATTATACGTATACATTATACACTTGTAATTTGCATAGGTAATTGTTTTGGTTATCTAATTACAATTATAATTTGGTTTAATGCACTTTTATTTGACTATTATTTGTATTATCATTTTATAATCTTTAATAGCTTATAAAAATAAGTGTTAATAAATAATAATAAATCGTATGTAATTATTTAATTTTTTGGTAGATCACTTATATTAAATTATTTAAATTGGTACTACTTATAAGTTATAAGTCGAATGCTATACACGAATATCATTTAAAGTATATCTACTGCTTAGAATCCTTTTTCGATTGCAAATTGTAAATTTCCAATGATTTTAAACCATAAGTAATAGTTCTAATTACTATATTATTTTAATATCATACATTGTACGTAAATTGAGACAAATGAGAATAGTGCACTCAATATTGGAAAACGGAATTTGTAGGCTGTATAGGTTTATTTCTGTGTCTGAGTTAAAAGTTATTATTATTTATTTTTTTAAGAATTTGAACTTTTCGTAGAAATTATAATTCCTTATTAAAATATTTACTAATGGTTGAAGAATTATAAACAGTATAATCAATATGAGTATAATATTACAGTCGCCGGTTGTCGTTTGCACATCACTATTGTTAATCTTGACCTTTTGTGTAAGACGATTGCAATCGTTCGATTTTTTGGTCATACATCGTTCGCACATCAACCATTTAAAAGGTTGTACATCATTTGCGCACCAATATTATTCAACATTAGAATTCAAAAAAGGTGTATACCCAAAAACTCAAGTTGTTTCTAACTTTAATCTTAAAATGTACACATCTCTAAATTAAAATTTTTAAATATTGTATAGGTATTACTGTTTTGAAATTTATTTGTACCGTAGTAATATTGTGTATGTCAAAAACTTGACTACATTCAAAAACATTGGCTTTTAAGTATACCACCGGTGAAATAAACAGATTTCATTTCGTAAAAATAATGGGACATTGCAATATACCAAGTATTGACTTATAATATTATTTTTAGTGCTTAATTAATTGATTTGTATACAATTATATTTTTTTTCATTTCTACTCAAACTACATGTTTATTTGCATTTTAACTATGCCTATAACGTGAATAGTTGAAATGAATACAATGTTATGTGTACTTTTTTTTTAGTAAAAATGTAAATGAAAAATTCAAATCATTTACTGGACTGTATACAATGTTTAGATACATTTTATTGAAGTGTTGAATACTTACTAGTCTGCACTCGGCAGTCATTTATGTAAAGGTATTTATAAGCGTAATGTCTATACATGAGTATTGAGTTATTACCGAGTAAGTTCCTTCCGATAGGTGTTTAAAAATTGAAAGTTAATACTTTGAAACAATCGCATTAAACAAAGAAGAGGGTAGTTTAGACTACTACAGTGAGGGCTAAATTTAATACTTTTATGTTTTTATATGAATTCTATTATTTAAAGGCTCTATTTTTTTGACGAATACATTTAATAGTAAATTAAATAATATGAGTAAAATAATCATAACATTTTAAGCTTTATATTTTCAAACACCTAGACAATAACCACCTAGTTTACAAGTGGATAATTTTACATTTGAAAAAATGAAAAGCTCTAAATATCTATATAGGTACTTAGAAGTTAATATAAATAGTGAGAATGACAAGCATCAGGAAATAGTCGAAGAATATCTAGTATTCTGGCGGAAACAAATGTTACCAAATTACCAAATTGTTCTTAGTCCAAACTCTATCATTAATAAGCTATCCAAATCGAAATTACTGTCGATAAAATCAATATTATTACCTACTTCGTACAGTGATTCGAGGCTAATAATAATATGGACACTAATACATGCGCATGTGAGATCTACGACAAAAGAGGACTTTAAAAAACTTATATATATTATACTACATTGGATAGACAAATCTTAAAGGATAATTTGGGCCATGACACTTAAGAAACATATGAAAGAAGGAAAAATGAAGACCTATATATACGTGTTAGGTAGGTGTATGAAAAACTATGGTTTCGCTATCAAAACTATCAGTATTGTTTATTAAATAGTAATAAATTCCTACAATTAATACATATTTAGTTAAAAGTTAAATGGTTTTTGCATGTTTGTTAAATATTTAGTAAAGAATCATTTCATGATTAATTAAATGGTGTAGTGTAGCTACATACATACCACGTAGTAGGAGGCAGAAGTGAGGAGTAACTATATAAACTATGTACAAAACAAACATACCTACTTGTTGCAATATAAACTTTACATAGCTATATACATACATCTGTTATTGATAGTATTAAACTGTTTAACACTTATTGATTTCTGAGGAATCACTGACGCTCGTAAAAACTAAATCAGTGACTGGATAAAACAAAGAGAAAGTGAAAATATTATTTTTCGAAGACCTATTTATATGAGTTTATTTTGTTACGGAAAAAATGTTCGATTTTTATACACTTCAGTATATATTTACCTATTTAAAACCTTCTAAAGTCTCCCATTTAATGTGTTAAATTAAATTATAATATAGAATTGTGTTATTCCTTATTATTTAATAAAATATGTGTGATGTCATATGTATCATACGTTATATAACATTATAACCAACTAAAGTACTCTACTAATATTGATAGTATAACTATGAATATTGGTTACATGATTTAGTAATGTAATAGGTGTTTTGTAATCACTAGGTTGATTTTAATATAAAAAGCAGGTAAGTGGGTACCTTGCTCTGCCGTACACTTAGCGTCTGGATAGTCACTGAAATGGATGTGTTAAAGTTGAATTCAATGATATAAAGTCATCGCATACGAAAAACGATTCTGAGTGAAGACGGTCTGTCAGCCTATGATATTACTTATATATATTATTTTTCTATTAGGCATTAATAGGTACTACAGAAGGTTAAATTCATTTTTGTAGAAAAAATTGCATTTGAAAATGTCATTTCTTGTACAAAGTATTATGATAATATACTCTAGAAATTTCAAGTAGCTACCCATACGAATTAAAATTTTTAAACTACAAAAAAATAACTAAAATCGTTATTCTTAGTTTGTATGTTAGGTAGTGTGTAATTTCGTCCAAATTTGAAATTAAAATATTTATAAAAAAACTGTGTTTACATATTTTAGATTGTTTGGTCACGTGGAACCTTGTTTTAAATTTCCAATCTTTTGCTGCAAATATTGAACATTTTATACTTTTTTCACTACAAAATAAATTATATATTTTAAACTTCATTAATGTTGTCAAAATTTGAACTTTAAATGCTTATAAATATCTGGCCTCTGTGGTTTTAATATTTTTAAACAGACATTTTAACAATGTGTGAGGGTCTTGTATTCAATTTTCAAAATGTTTGACCCAACGAATAAAATTGTATTGGCATTTATAGAAAATAATAAAATTAACATTTGGTGTAAATTTCAAGTACCTACAGTTATTCGTTTTTGAATTACAACAAAATAAGTAAATCGTTCCAAGAGAAATCGTTTAGTGTACGGGTGAAATGACAAATATCCAATGTCGTAAAAATTTCAACTTTAAATGCTCATGAAAATGAATTTGAATTTCTGTTAACCTTTATTTTTCTTAAAGGTAGAAAAACATACAAGGAATTTAATATCAAATTCAAATACAAAGGAAATATGACACATGGATAAGAGGAAGCCTAATGACCACTATAGCACCATTGATCGATAAAAATGGTTTTGCGCAGACAAATACTTACGGAGACGATGTTCTGAGAATAACTTTCTGAATTTTTACAATACAATTCTAACTATGACATAGGCACATAGTATATATTTTTCTCTGACTTAAATATATGTACAATCTAAATTATTCTTTAATAAAGATTAATATATGTTTCATTTGCGTACTACAAACCAATGATACCAAGTACCAACAAAATAAAAATATTAGCCAGATAAAGTTCTCTTCTGTGTTGGTAATGTGACAATCTGGTAAATCTCTGTAAATTGGTAAAATTACGAGTTTTTGAAGCTCAAAATTGTTTTTTGCTCTATAACAACTTATCGTAACTAAATCGTAATCTCGATATTACACAACATTGCAACAATCATTGTTGGTACTGACAAGGGAGTTTGGCCAGTATGGAACCACTTTTAAAAAACTTTAAATTTTAGTTATTCTTTATATGTCATTTAAATGGCCTATATTAAACCCCTCAAATAGTCATTTTAATGGCCTATATTAAGCCCCTCAAATAGTAATTAAGTGGCGTTCCAGTGAACTCTTACCAGTGTTAGCTGACCTGATTTGTATTCTGGCCAAATTCGTAAATCGTTTTATTCCTGACGCTTCAAATTTCTTAGGTGTTTCTTATGACCTCAGTTATCTGAGGAATAATCATTAACATTTTTAAATTAATTTATTAATTTAATGATATTTCAACTAAAAGTTATTACATCTCAAAAATGATTTTACAATATAAAACAAAAGAGAATAATAAATACTGAACATCAATAATAAATGTTACAATTATGGCGTGAAAATAGAAGAAGTTGAATATATGGATCCGCTGACTACCGTTCTTATTTTGAATGGAGTATTGTTGCCTGTTGGGTTACATGCAAAATCTAAATAACTATTGGGAATACTGGTATTATACTTGTAATGTTATGAAGTTGCTAATAATAAGAAATAATAAGTGAATTAAAAACAGTTTTATACAATAATAATAATTATTATAATATTCAGATAAATTAGTACAAAAATAAAAATGTATATACTGTTATAATTAATAAATCATTTAAATTTTATATAATTCAAGAAGGTGGAATTGAATTTGATGGTGGTGTTAAAGGTAAAGATGTAGTTGAATGTGATGGTGGTGTTAATGGTAATGTGACAGTTGAATTTAAAGGTGGTGTTAATGGTAAGACAATTATTGATTGTGAAGGTGGTGTTAATGGTAACAGTGCATTTGAATATGAAGGCGGTGTTAGTGGTAAAACAATAGCTGGTTGTGACGGAGGTGTTAATGGTAATGATATGATTGAAGGAGCAGATGTAGTTGCACCACTAACAGAATTTGAACCCATTTTTTTAGTAAATTGAGGAGTTGTAATTGATTTCCTATTTTCTTCATTTTCCTCATTATTTGATCTATTCTTTCTAAATTTAACCAGACTAAAAGGTGGTCTAAAATTTCTTATTCTACCACCAAATCTAAGTTGACAAGATTGTTTTTCACCTCCGAAACCTCCGCCTAAACAAAGTTAAAATGTCAATTATATTAAGTTTTTTATTAGAAAAATTAAAAAATATAAATTGTTATACCTAATCTTCGAGGTTTCCACCCAGGTAGCAATCGTCCACATTCGAAGTCCACAAATACCTCTGAATTCTTTAATACTAGAAATTTACAGAGTTCATAAGTATTCAATGCCATTTCAAACGTATTATACTCTATAAAAGCATATCGTTTACTTAAACCGGTTACTAAATCTCTAACCAGCCTTAAAGCTATCATTTTACCATAGCGACTAAATTCCTAAAACAAAATAAACAACAATAAATTATTTAACTTACACTATATTTTTAGTTAAATAGTATGCATTTAACCACAGTTAGTTGTGGTTTTTCTATTTGTATCTAATAGTATACATAAAATATGATAAAGTAAAGGTAAATAAGCCCCCTCCTGGCAAAAAAAAATAATGATGATAATTTATTACTATCCGAAAACCTATTCATTAAAATTAAAATGAAGAATATTGTATACATAATGTATGTATAAAACTATGAAAACAAAATTATTTTATAATTATGTACTTATATATATGGTACCAACATATTATGTATCGGTAGAAGGAAATAGAGCACTGTTTCATATGTTTCAATAAAAATCATACATAAGTAATCAATTTTGAGTCAATGTGTGCTTATTATCTTCTAAAGATATTTTAATTTCTTTCTGTTGACCTGTTATTTTCTGTTTTTACATACAATAACACACAATAACCCATTTTCTAGTTATTGTTTCAGAATAATAATATTATCTTACATTTTCTAAATCTGTTTCCGTTGTATCTAAGCTTAGTCTGCCAACAAATATTGTATTCAGAGGATTTCCTATTGCCTTATAGGATGTTTTATACTCGGAATTCAAGGCTCTAACAATTCCAGCATCATGTGGTATATTATCAGTGGCATCTATACTGCCAGCTTTTATCGGATCATATACTATTGCTTTATTATACCAGCATTTTACGTTTGGTATTTTTTTTTCGCGTCCTTTATAATAGAATGTCATTTTCTGATACAAATAGATATGGATATTAAACGATCGCTTATAAATTCTGTAAAAAAAAAAAAAATATTACACATTTATTTTATTCAAACAAAATGCAATGTCATACCCACATCAATATGTTTTAAATATTAAGCCATAAATATACAGATATATATTAGTTTGCGATTTACGATTATAAAATAATGTTTAAATGTTTTCGACTATCAAGTACATGGCTAATTTCCATTACCAAAAACAAAAGCAAGATGCAGAATGCACTATATAATGTCTAATCTGTCATATTCTAGACTTGAGGAATCCCAAATTATTATTAATACTTAAAAGTCAATATTTTATTTTGTTGATATCAACATCCAGTACTGAAATGAATATATGTCAGTGATAAAAATATTGTTACATGTGCACTGCTCATGCATAAAAATCAAATTTAACTGTACAAAAAAAGCAAAAATGAAAATCACAGAAACGGTGAGTGTACACCATTTACATGCTGTGGCATCAATACGGTAAAACTCATATTAATATGAATAAGAAGTATGCTTGACAGACAATAGTGAGAATGATTTGGAAGTGGGCGCTATAGGCAATTGTCGATAGACGAACGTAAATAAAACTACACAAAAGGTCTAAGGAGGTAAATAATACCTATTCATGAAACCAAAAGTTTGAACCAGTTTTGTGTCGAATTAGTAAAAAATATATTAATCAGTAGATAATAGCGGTACGATCACGACCATAGAATGAAACTTACCTCTGTGGCTCTCATGTGTGTACTTCGTCGAATGACGTAACTTGAATTATATGCGAGAGATTCTGAAATTATTTAGAAGTCAGTGGAATTGAAATCGAAAACTAATCGACGAATATCATATTTTGTAAAACCGTTTCTCTAATCAGCAATACACGAAATAATAACAATATAGTATGCGAGATTACAGTACGGCAATTGCTTTGTTGATAACACACCGCTAGTGATAATATAGCCTGGTTTGAAAGGGTGATAATCGTATAGTATCTTCAAAATTGTTCAAATTGTTGTGTAAAATAAAAACAGTCGATCCAGCAAATGTAAATTAAACTGTATTGTCGTTCTGTTTAATTTATTTTATATTTTACAATATGTCAATACACAACAATGACATTACTTATGTAAGGTTCCTTACTTGGATGATGTAAAAACTAAAGGCTAATTCTTATTTTTTGGCATCAAATTACCGTAGAAATGTGCTCAATACGCGTAGGTCAAAGCCACACACAGATTTAGTCGTATATTTTTCACTTTTCACATGTCATAAAAAAGTCATGATTCGGAATTTGAACAACTCGGAAAAATTCTTTGAAACTATTGAACGTTTTTTAATGCTTAAGAAATAATCTTTCATATTATCATGTGGTACATACAACTGCAAAAATCTTTCAATAGCAGACATTAGTGGTAGCCATATAGTCTTATCGTAGCCCAGCAATTTCTGATATTCAGTTCCAGCCATCTCACAAATTGTATTTTTGGATTTTGTTAATTTTTGGTCTACCTTCTAAAAACTATACATTTTAATGTCCCAAAGATTACCCAGGGAACAATAGGCCAGAGGTACAAAAAACGGGACGTTAGGTCAACCTATTATAATATTTATTACATGCATCTACTATTTACTTATGTGCTATTTTAAATTATTTTTACGTAACACACACATTTTTGATTTTTTAATTTTGATTTAATTCTATGTAATATTTGTAAAACTCAATATGTATTGTTTTTAATACATTTGTAAGGGTGTTATTTACTCAAAACTTGCTAAAATGTTTGTAAAAAACAACCATATTTTTAAATATTAATTAAAAAATATAAGAATCAAAATACAGTACCTATATAATTTTTATCTTCTTGCTGATTTAGATTATATCTTTCATTATTGTCTTGTAATAAATTGGTAAAAAAAGCTATGCTCACAGCTCAGTATTATAATTAAAATTGTAATGAAACTGGCAGAGATAAAATTGAAATGTAATTTCATAGAGTTCCAGCTTGTCGAAGAATATAATTAAATATTTATTTCTTAAATAAAAAAAATAGAAAAGATAGTATTTTATAAATAGATATAAAAGTAGTCATATTTATAAGTTTATGACATATGTGTTAGTACTAAGTAACCTTACAACATATCAAAATAACAATTTCTTCTGGGTTAATTTACTGTATAAGCATAAGTAACAATTAAAAAAAAAATTGATACCTACATAATATAAATTATCTTGTACCCAACATATCTACCTCCTCTAACCTACTCATAGATTTTACAGCTAATATTACTTTAACATGTATAATTCAGATATTTAACATATCAGGTTGGCAACTATAAGTTAGTATTATGTTAAGTTGTTTATTTAGAGAAACACTTAATGTAAAATTCTTGAAGTTTAAAAAACGGAATAACTGTCAATTGCCATTGCCAAATAATAGTAAGTAAGATAGGATATTTTTTTCCCCAGTAACAAACGTGTCAAATAGACTCAAGTTAAAACTATAATTAATGTTTTTGAGATTAATGAACTGACATATTCTGTAATATCAAAAGCAGTATGCAATATGCAGTATGCACAAAGTACGTAACATTTTAATTCTTACATTTTTTCAATTTGGCATGGAGATATGCTATGTATTTATACAAGTATTTTCAAATTATTTTGTATATTATGTTATTTTTAAATTTTTTCATAATATACGTCTTTTACCTTGTGCTTTTTACATTTTACTTCTTTTAAGTCATTCACACTTATAACATCAAGAAACATTTTCTTTTAAATCAAGTTTATCATCACAAGGGTATAGTGGGACTGACATTAATAGTCAACTTTAAATATATTTTTATTGATGTATACTCTATAAGTACAAGTTTAAGTTTCAGCTGTCATCGGCCTACTAACTTAGTATTAGATGTTTAGTATGAGTTTTACTTTCCAGTGTAAACACAAGGTTTTTGAAAATACACAGCCAACAGTAAAATCTATAAAAAAAATTTAGAAAATAATAATTTATATATTACACCTGTTAACCCCAGCAGAAAAAAAAATGTTGTGTATGAATAAAATGAGTGAAACATTAAGATAAAGAAAATGGAATTATAAATTATAATATACGAAAATATTATCTAAGAATTAAAAAAATATTAGGTGTTATTCAAACAGTCGAGTGATCTGGAACACGCATTGGTCACAAATTCAATACCAAAAACTCAAAAAAATCATTGATACTTCTTAAAAAAATATGTTTGATCATATATACATTCAATATTGAGTACACTTGAAACCATTTTGTTTCATAATTTCAAAAAAACATTATATTTCTTTTAAATTTTTATAAAAAAAAAGTATAAAAATTATATCAGCTATAAATGCTTAAAATTATATACCAAATCCAAATTTATGCGTAACACTTTTTTTTATAATACATTAAGACCACCAATATAGAAAAACAATAATAACTGATTGAAAATAACTCATAAACTTAATTGTTTAAAATCATTAACAAAGCTTTCAAAATAAATTAAGTCTATAAAAAACATTGTTTAAGGATTTAAGGAAACAAAAATGTATTAGGTTAAATCTTAAATACAAAACATAGTTATTTCAAATAATAATATATTCCTCACATTTTCTTTAAAATACAATACTATAAAAAGAAAAATTATCAAGAAAAAATAATAATATACTGCAAAAAATTATTTTCTGTTTAATGAACAATCACATCATATATTAATAAAAATTACAATTCAATATTATTTTAAAAAAAAAATGTATGTATAAATAATAAGCGATACATAAACAAATATATGTAAATTAATAAGCTTAAAAAAAAAAAGGATAAATAAACGTATATGAAATCACATCGATGTAAGTTCTATCTATATTAAGGTCATAGCAAAGAATAAGAATATTGATAATAAAATATCAACGAAATAAAATTATTCTATAATTAGATAACGTAAGAATGTTAAGATAACAATATTATTATGAAAAAAGTTTTACGAAGATTGAAGATCTATCATCTCAGCAGATAATAAATCACATTTTTATTGTACATAAATTAATGGAAAAATTATGATTTCATATGAATATACTAGTCAGCCTTTTTTGACATTGTTAATTAACTGTAGACATTAAATAAAAGTATATAATTATTTAATTAACAATAGGCGAAATATTTAAATAAATATCATTTTATATACTGTCATGATAATCATATTATTTAAGGTTAAACAGATAATACAAATAAAAATGTTAACAGTTAACTTATACTTGGAAACAAAAAATAAAATTTGTAAACATTATGGAGTTCTCTAACAACCTAAGAACAGTACTGAAAAAATAATACACAAGATAAATAAACAAAAAATATGGTGAGAAATATATACAAATAATTAATATTATTTGATATATTAAATAATTAATAGCTTAAAAACAAAAAAATGATTTTAATTCTGCAAAAAAAAAGTGTTATTAAAATAAAGTAATACAATAAGGTAAATAATGTACTTTCTTATAATATTAAATATAGTAAAAGATAAATTTATATACATTAAACAATAAAGGATTGTAACGAAAATTTGTACTTCGTAAATGAAGCTTAGCATAGCATGGCTTGAATGCTATGCAATACAAAGAATTTAAAAAATATATATATATATATATCTATATTTAAGATAACAGTTGATGAGATAAGTAACATACAAAAATGATTCATACATAAAAATAAATAAATAAAGAAAAAACACTGCCTACTCTAAGATGTTTTTTGAAAAATGAAAAAAGCAGGTTAACTAATCAGCCTTAAAATAAAAACAAATATGTTAATTTAATTCTTAGAAACATTTTAAGTTTTGAAAATATGTAATAATAGTAATACAAACATTAAAATTGCATACCCTTATCATATTTATGCAGTCTTAATATACAAAATTAGGATGATTGGATAAAATATATTTTTTTGTTTCCGAATGCCAACATCTAATAAAAAATTATTTTAAACAAAATTAAACGAGTGTAGTTAGACCAAATGAGCGTCGTTAAATACAATTTGGCTTATAAACAAAGTAATTTTGATAAATTGTACAATCACAGTTTTAAACATCTACAAATTTTAAACATATGTTTATACTTACATACATAAAAGTACCTAATAATATAATATTATATATTATTCATCATATTATAATTAACGATAGTGGGAATTGAGGGTAGATCCAATAGATCCAGTGATTGCCCAATAGTATGAATTTCAAAAGTTTAAAATTAGAAATATTTATCATCAAGATGGATAATAATATTTTTATATTTAAAAATCAAAATTTATATTAAAATAATATATACTAATTGGTTTGGACTTCAAAAAAAGAAAAAAACATACTAAAAAATACTAGAAAAAAAATAGAAAAAAAAAGAAAAATGGACAAATATGACAAATTTAACTCATAATCAAACATAAACTAAAGTATAAGTAAAAACTTTCAACTATAAACACGAATTATCTTTCATAATATACAAGTTCATTCAGTGTGTTGATGCCTATGTGAATAAATAAAGTTAACAAGTCCCATTTGAAATGTCTTGTGAAAAATACATATACATAAAATTAATACTTGAGAAGATAAAATAAGTTAATTTAGACCTTTGCAATAAATCAAGAATATAAAAAAAAGAACAAAAAAAAACAATATGAATATGACATTATATCACATCATTTCAGTCAACATTGAATTGTGGTCAAAACAAAAACATTGAAAATAATAAATTAGTCCAGGATTTTTTAATAAATCAAAAATAAATATGTAGGCGCTATAAAGAAAACAGAAATAGATAAGTTGCACGCATGCCATTTAAGGTTTTTATTATGTTCTGTACTCAGAGAGTTAGCGTAAATGCCCCCATACAACATGAACAGAAGCAAATCTAAAATCGATTTTGTTAATTATTAAATCTAACATTAAAATGAGAATAAAAAATAATGATTGAGTCCTGGACTATGAAATTAACATAAAAACTATGTACGTTTTAGGTAAAACATAGAAAGCTAAGTTGAGAACGGAGTTCAATTTTTCTTATTACGTTTCAAGTAGGAATCAGCATAGTGGCCTCCAATTCCTTGTGAATGCTGTCCAATATACATACCCTCAGGACTAAGTTCAGGAGATGGAGGAATACCTCTTTTTTGGCCCCGAGCTGTTTCATGTTGATTTGACAGCGATGATGTGGATGAAGTAGGTGTCCAGATATTAGGAGCTAAAGGAGAATACATAGATTGTGGAGATGGAGTAGAAGCAATGCTCTGCATAGAGGACCATGTGGATGATGGCGAGTAACTCACAGACGATTTTTCAGGTGCGGCAATGGGACTGGCTAGATACGAATCAGTTGTTGAAGACTGAGTATTTTTTGGCCACTGTTGGTCCAAGTTAAGAGATAATGACGAACCAAATGGATAAGTAGGTGTAGTTGGAGTTGGTGTTGCTGGAGGTGTAGTAGTATTAACACCTCCATAGATATTAATAACAACATTTTGTTGTTGACTTATATTATGCTGACCAATATTATTATGCTGTTGTTGTTGATGAACTAACTGTTGATTAATTTGTTGTTGATTCATCTGTTGTTGAGCTATATGCTGTTGAGCTATTTGTTGTTGGGCTATTTGTTGAGCTAATTGTTGGCCAATACTTTGCAAATTTTGGTTTTGATAAACTTTTTGTACAGCATCAATTTGATTCAAAGTACTATTATTATTTGTAGTTTGTTGTACGGTATCAACAAATGTGGGATTAAGGTTGGCAGTCAAACCTCCAAATCCATTAGCCTTTTGTGTTCCAGCCAAAATCTGAGCGGTTATTAGTTCTCTATAATAATTAGCCAGTAGTGGGTTGGCTAAATCTGCATCAAATAATCCAGAATTTAAATGTGGGGGAACTTCTCCAACAGGTGGGCTAGGTAATAACCTTGAACCATAAGTCTAAAATAACAAAATAAAAAACATGATATAAAAGTTGGCAAATAAACTTATTATTTAAAATATAAAATAAATTTACTTCTGGAGTGGCACCCATGTAAGATAAACTTGTTGGAGAATGCAACATAGTCGGTGGAGCTTTGCCGTTTATTAAATGTGATCTCAGTGTAGCTAAAAATATTTGTAATAAAAATCAGTTATAATACAATTAAGTTAATAAAATAATTAAGCATCTTAATTAACTTACAATCGTTAAAATCTTGCAGTTCCGACCCCATTTGAGAGGCTTTAATTTGATTAAAAATAATATTTTGAAGATTTTGTGCAACTAAAATTAAAAAAATTAAAAATCATTAAACTCAACTTTAAATTAATATTGTACTACTGTCTATTAGATGCTTACAGATTGGATTCTGTTTGGAAAGGTTTTGCAACGATTGCTCAATGACTTCTTGAGGAGGGTCTGGCAAGAGTCCACCACATTTAGATTTGCTCTGAGTAAAAAAATTATTTTTTAATTAAAATTGAATAAAAGTAAATATTAGATTGTTTCACACCATTACCGGTTCGTTCAAAAGTTTCAAAAACAAATTTATAGCTCTGACTCCAGGTATATAGTACGTAATACGAATATTATGGCCTCTCAATGTATGTCCGTTCAACTCCGATTGCGCTCGTTCTGCATCTTCGGCTGTGTTATATTCCACTAGACCCCAGTCCAACGGACATCCATTTTTAAGAGCAATCTAAACAATAAATTTATTCGATTTAGCATCGATTAAACAACAATAACATAATGTACACTGTACAGTAGCTAAACTATTCAACCATCATGATTGTTTATTGTGTATAGATACTGACCTGGCAATATGGCGGATTTACGACTTTGGCGAAAACTTTACGGAATTCGCTCATGTCTCTGAATGACTTAGGCAAGTTGTCCACATACAGGCATTTGGAGTGAAGTGACTCGTACGTGATATGACTGCCATCCAACCAATCACAAACCAGTGTCTGGTCATCAATCCCTTTACCATCCAGACCACATTTGGCCGTAATAGCGCACTCTTTGTTCAAATACTCGACGAATCCATATCCCTTGCTCTCACCGGTTTTCTCGCTGATTATCAGAAACGTTTTGCGCACCTCGCCGTACATTTGCACCAACCGGGTGAACTGGTCCTCCGTGTAGCTGTACGGCAACCTGGCCACGCACAAGAGCATTTCAGTGGGAGTCGGGGACACTGGTATGCGCTGTCCTCTCAACACGAACTGTTTGTGGAAATCCCATTCTTCCATCCTTAGCTCCGGGTCCTCCAGCGTCACTCGAGCCATGCTGCTACCGGATGTCGTGCTGATGTGAATGCTTTCAACAGGAAATTCGATTAAAAGTTTTCTGATTTCCTGTAACAAAGAAAAAAATCTTAATTTTGTTCAATACTTTTTTCATAAACGGGTTATGATTACTATAGGTAAGCGGGAAGTAACAAAATAGTAGAAAATATCGATCGGGGTGATACGATTCGCGGACCTGCCATTAATATAAAAAGAAGGCATATATTATAAAAACACATGTTTATTCTAAACATTTAAGTTTTGCCATGAACGTATATTATAATTATATGTCAAGCCCAAACACACTTCAACACTTTCGGGCGGCTGGATAAATCTAAATTCAGTAACTTTAAATTTGTATCTATTTTATATTTTTATTCAAGTCAATATAAATTGGAAATGCGGTCCATAAAGAGTGAAAGACCAGATGCTTAACTCATATACCACTATAGTTCTAACTGAATGATTTTCAAATTAGCTTATTCTATAGCTAACCTTACATTTAATTCATCGATTATTGTTCGAATTTGGTTGTTGCGGTAGTGGCTACCTACTATATCGACCGGAATAAAATGTACGACCTTCAACTCAAAAAACGTATAAGGGGGCAAGAGGCATATACATTTTATCGACACTGTTTCACGAGTACTTATATCTAACATCAATTATTTCTAGTTGTGATCAGTTTTTATTCTCTATAGGCTTAATTTTTGAGATAGAAATAATAAATTATTATAGCGACACGAGACTCAGTAGATAATTAACATTTTTTAAATAAAATTACTGTGATGAATTATTAGAAAAAAAAATACAGATTTTTTATGCCATGTTCATAGTTATTATTTCTACTAGTTGAACAAAACATGTATAGTAATCGAAACGGTGGAGTCCAATATTAAGCCATATAAATATTGCAAAAAAAACAAGAAGCCCGTCTAACAGTAGTCAAATTAAACGGTATTTGAAATGTTTAATCGATTTTTGGCTAAAATTAAAATCTCAACAAATGTATTATGTAAAAAAAAATTTAAGTATCGAACACGTGAATAGGTTAACTGCACTTCCGGTGATTATAATGGTTCACTTATTTTTTATTCAGCACGGTGAACATTGCATGGGACCATTTTACCCTAACTCATTGATTCGTCTAGCATAGATACCATGTTATACAATTTTAACCGAAATAATTTTTCTACACGATTTAAAAAATCAACCATATTCGTAATAATTGCATGTGCCTACCTCCTAATAGATTTTTAAAAATATTTATAATAATTAAAACAGTTGGGAAAGCATGACATAAATCTGCAAGAACGTTCATAAAAAAAATTAATGGTTTCATCATAATTTACGTTACTCTATTTTTTGTTGTTCAATAATAGTTTTGTTTTTTATTGTTATTATGCCTTATGTCCAAATATTATTTAATGCACGTGTGTTGTATTGACAATTACTAATTTGTCCAAAGACAATTAGAACAATTCAATATAAGTATGTGATACAAATATAAATACATTAATATTACTGTAATACGTGTACATACTCATATGCCTATATATAATCTCCATTTATTGTTATTGGTAATTACTGTTAAGCTTGCCAGTCAATGGCGCAAATAAGGGGTGAGAATTATTTATTAAAATAAATATTGGGTGGGGAGTGGTAGACCCCCCCACCCAAAATCAAGTCCTTATTCAGAGAGGGGAATGGGGCTATGCTCTATGCATTTTTTTTAGTCACTATTATGGGGCTCTAAACCCTCAAAAAAAATGTTAAGTCTGTGTTGCCACATTAGTCATTCACAAACAGCTTGATATGATTTTGTTGCATCAATAAAAGCAATAAGGTAAAAAAAATATCTCGGGATATAAGAAAATCATAATTATTATTGTTATTATTGGACGAATAAATTATATTAGGTTTATAATATACTTAAAGGTTTTACAATTAAACCACATATATAGACTATAATGGAAATAGATGAAATTTAGTGGCAAGTCAATAACACGCCAATGAAAAAAGTACCTACCTAATAGACTTTTCTCGTGATTTTAATGTCTCGTTAACAGAATATTAAAATTACAACTGAACCCACAATTTGTAAGAGCCTATTATTTAGAATGAATACCAGAATGGCATTGTGTTCATAAATTAAATTGAATGAACATAATAATACAGGTATTCTCAAATATATATTAATTACAAACCGAAAGGACTATTTTTACGTTTAAAATTATTAGAACAGATGTTTTTAATGACAGTGGCGTAACTAGGGGGATTTGGGTGTTCCCCCCTAATAAATCTATTATTTATGTACGAAAGCTGTACAACTTGTTTAATATACACTTTACACCCCCCTAATTTCATAATCAACACTACGCCACTGGCTAATGGTGTCAATTAATTTCCGGTTGTTTTAAGTCTTTTAAGAACAAATCTTCAATTAAGAAGTTATTAGTTATTACTAATTATAGGTATCTATGAAGGTAGTTTTTGGTGTATTTGGATGAAGCATCGTTAAATTTTTCAAAAAACGATGAACAGATAGAAAAAAAAACTAACGATAATTAAAGCGACAGCGGCTGTGCTCCTGAAAATCGTGCCAAATCGTAAAAACGTATGAAAATGGATTTATATTGTGGTCGGATATACAGAAAAGTCGAAATGTCGAATACAAGTATTTAAGAAGAACTCTAACCCAAGTGACAACCCATATTATAATTAAACATGAAAAATGGTGCTGTGTAAACGAAAATCCGCTTGCCCAACCGAAAACCGTTTCAATAGGGTCATCGTTTATATTAATATGTTTTTAAAAACTTAAAAGCATACCCTTCAAAAAAAAATAATACGTAACACGATCCGAGTAAACTCAATGTTCTTTTTTTACTACATACATCACACCGTGTAGTCAAATATGTGTGTAAACACGGTTAAACAACAATACTCGGCCATGTGTGGAAGTAATTTTTTACAAATACACTACACGTGTTATTCCATTTCCCAACGTACTATAATACCGTGCCTAATATTATTGTTATGTAACCAAAACATAAATAAACAAATATCTTACTTATTCAATAATATCGAAAGTTTTTAACAATTTTGAACTCTATCCAAGTACAGATATTTACAATTGTATATTTTTGAATTTTCGTCAGTCACCTTTACAAGTTAAGTTTTTAAGCTAATGACAACAATTTTTTTTTGCATGTCAATGAGGAACTAAATTTTATTAAGTTTTCAAAATCTAACAAAAGTGTATCAAAAAAATATTTCATAATATAATATATTTGATAAAAAATAAATGTTGTCGACTACGGACCTACGCCGTTTTTCGGTTGACAAATATCAATTTGAACCCTTTTTAAAGCAAGTTTTTCTTGTTCATAATCTTGTCAGACATTTTAACAAAAAAATGACTTGTGTACCTAATATCTATAGATTAATAATTAACGATTCAATTGAGAACAATTTTTTTTACTATTACCTATTTTTTTTTTGCATATTTTCAAGGTTGTTACTGCAAATAATATGCCAATATTGTGATACTTGTAACTACATACAAATCCATCCTCTACAGTCTACACAACTATAGTCGATGTGGCATTCAAAGAATATAAATATTACCATGTGTATAAACTGTATTTGAAATTTTTATATTCATAATTTTTAAGTACGCAAACATTTTATAAAACGTGAGCAAGATGAACGATTTTTTTTGATAAATATATTTATGATCTTTTATTTTAGAAGTTTAAAAATGATCAATTTATACCATAATAAGAATTCATACAAAGTATGTACCGACAAACTATTATTAAAGATATAATATTTTAAACGATCTTAAGAAGGTACCTCCGAAGAGTTAACTCTAAGCAGCAAAATAAGGCATTATCTGTATACAATTTATGAACACCATACATCATATACATTATTATTGTTATTATTACGTAAAAGCACATAGTCATAATAAAACATTAAAATTTTTATGGTTGGCAACGCGCATTATGGGCCATTGAAGTATTAAATAATTTATTTCGTACAGTCGTCATAATATGTATTTAATTGGTTTTTGTTTTGTTATTATTATAGAATCTTTAAGCCGAAAACACTGAACACACTTCTCGTGGTGTTCAATCACGTTATAGTCCGTAAAGTATTATGATATTCCGTACCGAATCACAAAACAGTTTTAAAAAAAAGAAAAAGAAGTGGAACAGATGGCTGGATTCCAATAATTATAATACATGCCATTTTTTTCTTCATTTTTTCCCTTTAAAAAAAAAGAAACGTCTACGATATAATAATATATATCATTTTTTTTTCATTTACTAACAGACCATACAGTATACCATATATACCTACTATTATAGTAGTGGTGAAGGAACTCGGCAGCGACTAAAGATATATTGTATATTATACAGGGTGGACCATCAAGCACGCTCATGTAATTAGTTACACTTAATGACTAATGATCAATAACCTTATTTTAAAATGCTTGGATTTTTTACAACATTTACAAAAAAAAGTGTCCTATTATCTGTAGAAGTGGCAATCACTTATTTTTTTCGAACGAGAATCAAATTTTTCAGTATAGGCCCGTTTCACATGGACGCTTATCATACGCCACGTACCGTACGCGAGCGTTTTCATTTACCTTGCACCACCGCGCGCCGGTAAGGGCGATTGAACTTAATCAATGTAAATTAAAAACGCGCGAGTACGATACGCGTCCATGTGAAACGGGGTCTTAATTGTTATGCAGACGATTTTCTTGAAAAATGCATGTACCCAGACTGAAATTCAAACCATCAGTTGTAAGTATTTTAAGTTTTAACTTTACGAACCAAGGATGATAAAAAAGTACATGCTAATAGGATTGAAAAAATTTGAAGGCTACGACAATTTCAAAATTATAGAAATCAATCCATGTTATATTATTATCAATTTGACCGATTCTGTTATACTTATAATAAATACATTAAAATAACTCAGCAATTACAAGTACAAATTTTGATTTAGATATATTGACAAATTCAACAAAAAAACACCGGTTTATTAATTTA